ATATAGAATATATATAGAATATATATAGTATAATATATATTCATTGCATCATTATTTGGATAGCGAAGTGATTTAGAATGATGGGATGTGGGAAAAGAGGAAGATTGTGACCCAGGTGCAGTAACATAGAGGATTAATCAGGAGGGTGGTAGATGACAGATAAGGAGGCAGGGTGGAGAGTAATGTAGTCAGATGGTACAAACCTCAAAGGAGGAATTTTTAAACCAAGAGTGGAAAGTTAATTTTTTTTTTTTTACTTTTCCTTCTTGTATACGGAGTTCTGATCTCTTCATCTTTACTCAAGACTCATGTTGTACTGTTTGTTCTCAGTCTTGAAAAGTAGGGCAGATACCTATTATCAAATCCTACAAGAAACAATCAGATAAAACAGTAAGGATGTACCCATGGTGTTTGGACCGAGTATAGTGGAAAGAGTCTATGTTTTGGAGTTGATAAGACCAGATTCAGGTCTCAACTATATATTCTACTAGTCTTATGACTGACTATAAGCAAATTATTTTGCCTCTGTGAAAATCATTGTCCTTATCTATAAAAAACAAATTTCTATTTCATAGGGTGACACAGATTATGGTACACATACACATAATCACCAGAAAAGCAGTTGACACTTGATAGATGTAAATCATTGTTAGTTCCTTCCACCTACCTTTAAAAGGCTTATATTCTGATAGCAGAAATCAAACTTTTTCATGCTTATTAAATTCTAAGGCAGAGTATAGTGACTACTCCAGTGGAGGTAAAAGCAGAGTGATCTAACAGTTCAGAGAAGGGAGCTTTTATTTCTCAACATTCAGAAACGATGTTAGGCTATATATTCAAGATAAAGTTTGGGTATTGGAGAACAAAGTTCAATAGATTAACAATTTAGGTACAGATAAAAAGTAGGTCAAGTATAGATTATGTTTTTTAAGACAATCACTGCCATACATTTGCACATGTCAGTAGTGGGATATGTGGGCTTGAGAGATTGGCTGAGGCTATTTTCTATGAAAGACCCAAAACTATAACATTTGGAATTGATTCTAGACATACCAGAGAGCAGTCATTGATTGTATATCTACTTTCCCTGCTTCAGTTTAAATTGTGTAAAATTTATGGGCATTAATTTAGAACTCCAGATTTTGTTTGAAGTAGACCAAATAAGAAATTCCACATTTGAAAATAAGTTGCTATGTAGCCCAATTGTATGTTAAATAAGAGAAACTGCTAGGGTTTGTTTTGAAGTTGTAGTCTAATTTTTGTAGTTATTTTGTTTGGTAAATGTGCTCAGTGGAGTTAAGAAACATATAAGGTCTCATAGTAGAAACTGTGACCAAAATGCTCTGATTTATTTAAAATTCTTTTTCATTTTAGTGTACTAATTTAGATTTGAAAAGAAGCTTCAGCTCCTAAGTATAACTGTACAACCCTGGGAAGCTTCACTTTGACTCTTGGATCCTCTGTTCCCTCATTTGTAAAATAAGGAAAGATGTAGCTAGCTGTAAGGTTTAAGTATATGTAAAGTTCTTGGTCACTTACTAGGAACTGAAATGTTATATCACTCCCTCTTCATCTATAATTTATTTATTTAATTTATTATTTAATTTATTTATTGCCAAGATTTTAGTGCTAACTCCATAGTCTTTGCAGTTCTTCTAGAACTATTTTGATAACCTTATGGATACATTCATCAAGCCTTTTTTATAATGTTTTACTTTGTTTGTTTGTTTGGTGTGTGGGAAGGTGTTGTGCCAGGGTTTTGTTATGTAGGCCAGGCTGGCCTCCAACTCAAAGGACCCTAGTGTTTCAGCATCCTGAGTGCTGGACTAGCAGGCATGTGCCACCACACCTGGCTCCTAAACTCAGAAAATTTTATCATCTACTGTCTTTGTCCTAACCTCTCCAATCATCTGTTGATTTTTATATTGTTACTCCTCTAGATTCTTCTTCCTGTCTCCCAATCCTTCTAATTTGCTCTTTCTCAAATCTTTCTATTTGTTCATTCATATTCTTGATTCCTACCCTTTTTTTCCCATTTTTATTTCTCATTAGTACATGTTTGCAATACATAATGATCACATTTCTGATGGAGAGTTGGTACATGTACATAACACATCTCAATATTTTTTTTCATCCCTTTCCACTCCTCTCCCTCCCCTACTCCAACTCTTGTTCTTCTTCCCATTGGCAAAAGATCTATGCTACTATTTCACTACTGTTCCATTCATTCTTTTGCCATTATCATGTATT